AACTTGCCCAACATTTCGCCCTCCCGCCGGGAATCGAACCTGGATCCTCTGGCTCGAGGGATCAGAGATGAAGTCACCACAGCTAACCCACCGCCTCTTGGTAACTTTAAATGTTTTTTTCTTCAAGCCTCCTTCCACGGAACCTCGTTAACCCAACCGTTCCTCTGGTTTGGTTGACAGTCAAAATCCACTATATTTTAGTGCCGTTCTCAAACTGTGTTATCAGAGCGCTACTAAAACTTCAAAAGTCTCTCATTAATACGATTTATATTAGTTTTTTCCTTTGATCTCTGGGTTTCCTGTTCTTATATCTCGCTGTGATGATACCCATTACAGAAAGGCTGGAAGCATCACTTAAGATTTCAGTTATGTATCACATCCAATAGATTGAATTCAGACGCATTCTTGTTAGGACACCATCTGTTCCACCAGTAAATTCATCTGAACCTTGTTGTTTTCAATGAAGTACCAGTCCCTGCCCAATTTTTATGTGATATAACCTCTCCGCAGAACAGTGTGCAATTTGTACACCCATCACCGAAAGAGAAATCAATAAAGAAACACCTTTAACAAAACAGTAATGACTTGAAGCACTTTATTGAGCGTCAAATTGCCTTGAGGTGCATGCCAACATAATTACTGGAAGCGATCTGTTTACCGGATTATTTGAACCAATTCCTGAACTGCAGATCTGGAATAGAAAACGCTCACGTGCTTCAGAAAGCTCAAGAAGATATACAAGAGTCAATAATAATAATAATAATAATCCTTGCAGTTGATATAGCCCTTATCATGTCTTCGAGACGTTTCAAAGCGCTTCACAGAATATACTGTAAAGTGAATTGACTGTCAATTTTGTGGGTGAAACGCAGCAACCAATTGCGCACAGCAGTGTCCCACAAACAGTTAGGGATTGAGTGACCAAATTATTATTATTATTTTTTTTTGAAGGGATTATTACCCCCCGGAATAACAATCCGTCAATTGACTAACAACTAGGTTCCTACTTACGACTAGGTAAATCGAGGCGTGCGGTGTAAGGAAACTTGCCCAGCATTTCGCCTTGCCGGGAATTGAACCCAGATCCTCTCGCTTGTGAGGTGAGGGCTTTAACCACTGAGCTACAGGACTCCACAATCACAAGTGAAAGAACCAGTGCATCAAATCCAGTATACTGTATCAACAGTGATGGTGTTTAATCTTGAAGTGTGTGCCCTCTGAAACGATGATAACATATGCTTTCAAGAAGCAACCGGAAAATACTCCGATGGACACTTGGACAACTGGCTACTGTTATAACTACAGCTGGAAGCCTGGAACAAGCTCAGTTAGTGACCAGGAATTGGGGGGATATGATCACGCCTGCATTGTGGGGTGTTGAAGGATGTAAGATAGGACACAGCAATTGAAGGTAATCTGGGACATCGAGCCTGATGTTGACTGACCCATCCCAGTGTGACAATTATTTGAGCACAAGAACCAAGGAGAGACTGTATCACAGATCAAACTATTATGTATAAGACACAAAATTGTATACCCAAAGAGGAGTAAGCTACAAGGGAAATGGCGGGTAAATGGTACTGAAAGGAGTGTTCTTCGGTGAGCCAGCTCAGACACGATGGAACAAATGGCCTTCTTCTGTGCTGTAAATTTCAATGGTGCTGTGGTTAAGGATTGTGTGTGTGAGAGGGCCAGATTGGGGTAGGCAGAGCCTTTGCAAAGAAGATATCTTTTCAGGCAAAACAATAGTGGGAGGTGATGTAAACGAGAATAATTCTTGCGAGATTTACGTACGTGCGCGTGTGAACGAGAGAGAGAGAGAGAGAGAGAGAGAAGAGTGAGGAAGAGAGAGAAAGATTCACTCAGTGAATGCCCGTTAAGGTTTTGCAGATTTAGTCTTGTTTGTTCAGATTAGAAATTTGGTTATCTTACCCCCAAGGGTTGTTTCGCAAGTGAGTCTAGAGACTGTCAGTCCATTACCACTTCATTACGTGGTGCTGCAGCTCCTCTTGTTTTGCCAGCTGCAAAAATGGTTCCAGTCCTACAGGCAGCACATTTGAAATAGAGCAGAACTGACTGTGCAGCAACATTCCAGCGATATTGGAGGCCGGCATTTCTCTCTCTCTCTCTCTCTCTCTCTCTCTCGCCGTTGAAAATAAACTTTAGCAATGAAATGCTGAAGGCATCGCTTGGGCAAACAGCCTTTCCCAAACTACTACGTGCCAGGAATATTGTGCTGATGAATAAAAAAAAATCAGCTTGTGTTGATGCAAAGGCAATGATGTGCACCTCACATACTTACAAAGTCGCCTAATGATCCAGCAGAGCGCTGTAAATAACTCAAAGTCCATTGATGTAGCTTGGAAATGAGCAAGTTTAAGGGGGGAGGATAGCTCCTCAAAGCTGTGTATTTCGAGGTGCTCGTTTTGCCCAAGCGTCTTAGCACGTCATGGAGAGCGTGAACGCTGTTTAAAGCACTCGGAGAATCTAGTCGAAGGTTTGGTTCAAGGACAACGGGAGGGTCTTTAAGGACAATAGGACAACACGCCTTAGATCCTCGTCAGGTGAAGTTAAAGTTCGAAATAATATGTGCTCTAAAGCTGTACTGACTGTTCGAAGTCAGCAAGAGTAGAGAATGCCAAGCAACAAATAGGAAAGTAGCAAAGTTCTGCAAAATAGAATAAGTAAAGCGCCTTGAGACAATAATAATCCTTGCATTTGATGCAGCGCCTTATCATGTCTTCGAGACGTCTCAAAGCGTTTCACAGGATATACTGTAAAGTGAATTGACTGTGTATTTTGTGGGCGAAACGCGACAGCCAATTACGTACAACACAGATGTCCTCATACATCACGAGGGGTCCAATCTTTTGGCTGCTGAGGGCTGGATGCCCTATTTGAGAAATGTCTGTGTGGATGAAATTGTCAGCAAGGCCGCCAATTTGGACCACCCTATGTGAAAGGCATTGCACGAGTTCAAATTGTTGTCGTCGTCGAGTTCGAATCGCGGTAGGAAACTTTAACGGGTAAAATCACCAGAGGGTTCAAAACTGAAGGATTTCTGAACATATTCTCTTCCTTATGCAAGGAACATTGTTGAGAGTCATTTTTGACATCAACATCAACAGCAACAACTTGCATTTATATAGGGCCCTTCACACCGGATAGCATTTCGGAGGATTTAACCCTTTATAACCTTCCGACCCATACCCCCAAACTTCTGAAAAATGGCAGCACCCAAATCCATCTCAAATCAAAGAGAGCAGTGGGACGGAGAAGAGGAACCCCGGGAGTAATAAACACAGGAGTGAGAACGGAGGAAGGAGCGATTTGAAAAGGAAGACAGATGCGCACGGGAAAGGGAGAAGATAAGCGGGAAGTCAATGATTAACTGCTAGCTCGGAGCCGCGGTGAGAGAACTTGAGAGATCACAGTAGAATTGCAAAATAGTCCAGCAGCAGTGCGAGCCTCATAAATCACAGGATATCACCTGCTTCCATACAGTACGAGATATGTACTGCATCTCACATATCTGCAGTCCGTGCATGCCTTCCTTCTGCACAGTACACAGAAATAGCAGCGAGAGGCAATTATTAAATACACAATTAAACCGCATTAATTGCACTTAAGAGCATTCGCTCCAGAGATCTTATTACCATTTTTGGACTAATCAAAGTTTTAAATAACTAGCTACAACAAGATTATCTTTTTATTCTATTAAAGCACCTCTGAAAAGAATTAAACAATGGGTGGAAATTCATTAATCACAAGCGACTGAAATCTAGAGTAAATATTTCTGGCACTGCGGAGGCTTCAATTATCGGCAATCAAGTTTATATTCTCTACAGTCAGTTCTGCCCTGCAATACCAGTTTAGGCTTCAGCTGTCACTCATTTCCTAAAGAGTAGTCATTAACTGAACACAAATGATTGCTGCTGATGAGTGTTAATTTTTATAGAAGCTTGTTATATAAAAGAGGAAAACCATAAAAGAGGATTTGAGGCCACTTCACAGCATGTTTTATAGCTTTTCTCGTTATAACGCTGCTTATTTATTTTCCCCTCCAGAGCTAATCTTCACCGTTTCTCTTCTACTCTTTCATCGATTTGAACTGGTGGCCTTCTAGCATCATCTTGATCCACTCTGCTCTCACTTGCCCGGCTCGCAAGAGCACGAGAGAGAGATTTGGGCGAAAATGCTCCTGCAACCCATTTCACCTCATCTTATTAATATGTAACAATCCTTGCATTTCAAGGATTATTACTTCTGGAAAGCAATTTGTCAATCGACTAAAAACCAGGTTCTTACTCACTGCTAAATAAACAGATGCGTGCGGAGTAAGGAAACATACCTAAGGTCTCGGCCTGCCCTGGAATCGAACCCGGGTCCTCTCGCTTGCTAGGTGAGCGCACAACCATTAGCTAAGGGACTCTGTGGCATAGGTGTTCAGGTAGATATAAAGCATTCCCTTCCCTTTATTGAACAGCACAAATGGGACCTTTAACATCCACCTGAACAGGCAGACGGGACCTTGGTTTGACATCACACCTGAAGGACAGATGAAATGGTAAGGTAGTCCATCAGCCCTGTGATTTGCGCATTTTGAGTTTCCCCAAACTTTTTTCTTTCCTTCCCTGTGCGCCCCCACACCTTAGCTCAGTGGTTAGAGCACTCGCTTTGCAAGCGAAAGACCTGAGTTCAATCCAGGCAGAGGGCGAAACCTTGGGCAAGTTTCCTTACTCCACACAGAGCCTAATAATAATCCCTCCAAAACCAAAAACAATAATAAATTGGTCATTTTCAATCTACGACTGTTTGTGGGACATTGCTGTGCGCAATTGGCTGCCACGTTCGCCCACAAATATACAGTCAATTCACTTTACAGTGTGGTCTGTGAAGTGCTTTGGGACGTCCTCCCGACGTGAAAAGCGCTATATCAAATGCAAGGATTATTATTATTATTTGCCCCAGAGACAGAACGGAGAAGGACTGATACCTACTGTTGTGAAATTCATGACCTTCAAGATCCATATAGTCAGAGCGAGATTCACCAGCAGCAGAATCATTAGGAGGAGGACAAAAAAGTAAAGGCACCGCTTTCGCCAGCCGTAAATCCCAACTTTGTACACATATTGGTTTTCTGAGGTCTGGATGTTGTTTCGTTGAGTTGTCGAATACTGTTCCTGTGTCATCTGTCGATTAAGAGACATGGGACAATAATTATTATTATAAATAACAATACTTGCACTTGATAGTATGTCTGATCACATCATTGAGGCATCTCAAAGCACTATTTTACTCTGAAGCGTAATGTATGTGTATTCACAGGTCAACGAGGCAGTTCATTTGCACACAGCGATGTCCCACAAACAGCCGTGAAGTGAGTGACTGATTTTAACAACAACAACCAAATTGCATTGATATAGTGCCTTTCACATCAGGAGGATGTCGCAAGGCGCTGGACAATATTATTATTATTATCCTTGCATTTGATATAGCGCTTTTCACTGTAAAGGGTTTGCACCCCTTTTTTTTTAAACAGTAAAGGGTTTGCACCCGAGCTTGGGGTTTGGAGTCAGGAGGGGAGGAGAGCAAGAGAGGTGGAGATGACCGAAGGCTCAGTCAAAGAGGAAGGTCTTGAGATGGGCCTCGCAGGAGGCAAAGGGAAGGGATGAGGCGGTGGGGCGTATCTGGGGGATTGATGGCATCCACGCCCGGAAAAACTCCCTTCTTCTTTGTTGGAGGTGCCATCCTTTGGATGTCTTATCCAAAGGATGGCACCTCCAACAAATAAAACACTTCCCCAGGAGCGCAGTGGAGCGTCAAAGTGTTGGCGTGGGTCTTGAACGCACAACCTTCTGACTCAGAGGTGAGAGTGCTACCAACTGAGCCAAATTGACACTGGCCATTGAGCCACTGAGCCAGGCTGATTAATGGTTTGCAATTTGTGGGTTGGTGGGGGGAACAAGAGAGGATTTGGTATAGGAAAGAAGTAGGAAAGAACATGGTGGTTCATTGGTGAAGTTTGTATGCATTAAACTTTTCAGCCATTTAACAGCGAACTTCAATAGATGGAATTTTCCAAATACTGCAACAACAGATTGGTAAAACAAATAGGATAAAGGAGTACATTTACCAAGTCAGCAAACCGAGAAATCATTCAAACTGCTGATTGTGCAGAAGTTTTGCAAAAGTTTAGGCAACTAAATGTTTTCCTCTCTCTCTCTCTGTCTCTCTCTCTCTCTCTGAGCCCCTTCTCAGACCTGGACCCTTCGGCTAAACACAACTTCGGAAAATAGATCAAACGAGGGGAAGAAATAAATAAACTAATAAGCGAGGGAACTGTTTTTAATAGGAACGTAATAATATCCATTCTGTTGCATTTCACAGTCAATTGATCTTAAATTATTCAAATATTACGGATCTTAGTACAGATGCTGGAAGCAGTCCACGTGCCATTACAGTTCATATCAGAAGAGGGTTTTTTGTTACTTTAAAATAGTGGTGCGATAGTGTCTGCTTTTCTTTTTTTCTATCTCTCTCTCCTTCTCTCTCTTATTCTCTTTCTTTCTTCTCTCTCTCTCTCTCTCTCTCTATAAGGTCATCGATATGAAATGTTAACTCGCTTTCCTCTCTCCGTAGATGCTGCCCGACCTGCTGAGTGTTCCCAGCGACTTCTGTTTTTTATTTCAGATTTCCGGAATCTGCAGTATTTTGTCTTTTCTTTAATCTCCTGTTTCCTCTCCTCCCTCTCTCCCTCTCCCTCTCTCTTTCTCACTCACTTCCTGGAGTCCTCCTCTGTCTCCTTAATCTCCCATTCTCTTTACTCTATCTTCTGCAAACACTCACGTTTATAATCTCTCCTGGGTTCTCTACGCCTCTCTCCCCTGGCTGTTTTCTCTCCTGTCCCACACCAATGTTTCATTGCACCGTTACTCTGCTTTGTACCTTTGATTTTGACCTATGACTTTATCTTCCAAGATTCTGTGCACTATTCCCCGTTCCCCTACTTCCTTTGCCATTTGCTTTCTAATTTAAACTTCTCTTTAGACTGTTTGTTGCTCGATTTCTCTCAGAAATTAGAACTCCTGAAAGCATATAAATTGCTTGTTTCTGCCTTCGAGTAAGAGAAGTTCCCATGATATACAGCAAAATTAATTATGTAATACATATAACCTTCGTAGAAAAACAAATACTGGATGTCTGCCAAGTGGCCTTCCACCTGGAACTCAACAGAATTGAGTATTTCTGTAATATTAATAAGGATAATAATCTCTGTGTCTGATATATCACGTCATTGAAATGCTTCAAAGCATTTCACAGGATATTAATTTAAAGTGCATTAAAACAATTTATTTGCAGGCAAACGTGACTGATCGGAGGAATGCATTGCTGTTCCAATATCTGGTGTTATGATAACCTTTGCATTTAATATAATAATAATCCGTACATTTGTTAGGACACCTTATCACGTCGTTGAGATGCCTCAAAGCGCTTCACAGAGTATATTGTAAAGTGGGTTGTTTGTATATTTTTGTGGATGAAATGTGGCAGCCAATTGCACACAGCAAAATAATATAGCGGCTTATCAAGTCATCGAAGTCTCAAAGCTTTGTGGTTTAGTGACTGAGCATTTTGTAGGCAAACGCGGCAGTCAGTTTGCTGATAGACAGGACTTTGCTTTAACTCAGCCCTTCGCAAATACGCTGTCTACCAAGGAACAGTGCAACCGAGCAAGAGAAGGATGTCCTAAAGATCTATTAGTAATGGCTTTTGTGTGAATAACTATGTCTAGAGAAGGCAGCTCAGACACATGGCGCATTGCTATGATTGAGCCTCATTTGACTCTATAAAAGGATTAGGATACGGAGCACAGGGCTTCATTTGGAATGAAGGCATCTTCTCTGACAATTAGGTTTTGACATGCCGATGAGAAGAGATTAAAGTAAATATGAGGAGATCTACTTTTAGTGAACCGAAGATGAGCTGTCCATTTGATAGAGGTGACTCAAAGCTGAATTCCTCCGTAAAACTATTTATAGAGTCTTTCAGTGCTTTTAGAAGGACTGGTTGGTCTGAAATCTCACGAGTTTTTTTTACTGTATCTCTGCTACAGCATGCCGTCTCTCTGTTACAGCACTCTTAAGTGAAGTGACTGTGTTTTCTGGGCGAAACACAGCAGCCAGTTTGCACACAGCAATGTCCCACAAACAGCCATGAAGTGAATGATCAGGATCATGATCAGTGTCCAACAACAACAACAACAACAAGATTCCATTTATAAAGCGCCTTTCACGTCAGGAGGACGTCCAATCAGGACACTGGGAGAAACTCCCTTCTCATTTGAATAGTACCATGTTTTTTTCCAACATCCACATGAACGGGCAGAAGGGATCTTAGTTTAATGTCTCTTCCAAAGAAACGGCACTTCCAACAACGCCAGCACACCCCAGCACTACATTGGAGCATGAGCCTAGACTAATGTGAGTGCAAAGTTCCAGCTCGGGGCTTGAACCCACAACTTTCTTGACTCAGAGGCGAGAGTCCTATCTACTGAACCAACCTAACACACGGAGCAAGTCGACTGGAGACTCGAAAATCTCAAAATGTATGCCTTTCGATACATCTGGACATAACAGTCAGATTCTGGGCTGAAAGAAAAGTCAACATCTTGAAGTATTTTCCTCTTTATAGCTTCCACGACATTTTGCGTCAAAGTAACGCAGAACACATGTGTTTGGTTTTCAAGCTGCAGCTTTTTAAGTGCTGCTACGTGTAACATAAGAGGACAAACAGCAGGCAGCAACGTTCTGTGAGAAAGTCGATGGAGTAAGCCTGCCAACTCTCAGACAGTGAAGCTGGGCAGACTCTTGGCCATTGGAAGCAGATCAGCAATTGATAATAATCCTTGCGTTTGGTATAGTGCCTTTTACGTCTGTAGGACGTCTCAAAGAGCTTCACAGGATATAACGTAAAGTAGATTGACTGCGTATCTCCTGGGGAAATGCGGCAGCCAGTTGCGCACAGCAATGCAATGTCCGACAACCAGCCATGGAGTGAGTGACCAACTTTATTTGAGAGGTTGTTGGCCAGGACACCGGGAGAGGGAATATCCCTTTTCTTTTCGAATTTTGGTTTTGAGTCACCTCGGGGAAAATTCCTTCCACCTCCACAGCTGCTCTATAGCGAGGATGCTTTGATAAAGCTCGCTTGTTAAGTTAATTAGGAAAATGATTGCCTTCAATAACAAAATAAATCTCTGTATGAAATGCACTTCCTCTGCCAACAGGATGAACAGACACGTAAAGCTTAATTTATATAAGCAAATAGGTTAATTTCCGCAGTAATTCATCATAAACAGCTGGGTATTAGTGCAATGCTACTTTTAAACAACAGACATAACAGTGTGAAAATACAGAGCTCAAAAGCAGATGAAATAAAAACATGTGACATATATTCTCGGTCTTTTTGCTTACAATCCAGAATGGCTCTCCAGTGTGAGGCTGGGGGTGTGCTGCATTGGCGGAAGTGCGGCCTTTTGAGTGAGATGTTAAAGTGATGTCCCGTCTGCATGTTCAGACGGACGTTAAATATCCAAGGCTTGGGGACCCTTGAGTATGTGTTGAGATGACTGCTGGAGTTTAACCAGCTACAACCACACAGCTTGCCATTGAGAGCACTGTCTGGACAGCTTTAATTAAGTGGTTATCACTGAGCTAAAAGTTACAGGTAAAACACTGCTGAAAAGCTATGGTTCCTACAAGACAGCAAAGTATTCCACTGTTGGAAGAAGGGGTTCACCTAACGTTCCCCATCATGTCACCATAATGTCCCCTAAAGATCCCATTGCACTATTCGAAAGGAGAAGGAAATTTCTCCTGATGTCCTACCAACAATCCCCCAAATAAAATTGGATCACTCATTTCATGGCTGTTTCGGGGACATTGCCGTGTGCAAGTTGACTGCCTCGTTTGGCTATGCATACACAGTCACTCCACTTTACAGTAAATCCTTTGGGACGTCCTCCCGACGTGAAGGGTGCAAAGATAATAATAATAATAATAAAATAAAATAAACTTAAACATCCCACTAAATATTGTTTAACATCACAGGTAGGGGAGGGTGGGGGGTGTGGGAGAGCGGGGAAGGAATTTAGGGTAATGCAGAATAAGTTGATACTCTCAGAATAATCTCGAGCAGAGCAGCGCAGACACCCGCAGTAAAATCCTAACCAGCCACAGCTGCAAGCAGCCACTCGAACTTTCTCTGGTCCCAAAAGGAGTACAACCTTGTGAAAGGCCCCCTTACAGCTGTTAAGCAGCACACTAAATTTAGAAGCGTTCAATGTTAAAAGAAAGTTCAGAACTGGCGATTTGTAGGCAGCAACATTTGTTTTTAAGTTACTTCCAGACATCTGTTGCTTCGCAGATGGGCACGAATTCATGGCTTGCTCGATCCTTTGCAGGCAAAATCTCTGTGAAGCTTTTTCGGTCCACTTATGGAATAGAAAATAACACCACACACACACTTTCACACGCACACCGCACGCACGCACAGCCGACAAAAGTCACAGAAGGAAAGTAAACCAACAGGAGTTANTTTTTTACCTTGCTTTTCTGCTTTGCAGCCTGACAGGAGGCAGCCTGGGTGTGTTAGGAATCTCTTAACAGTGCAGTGTCTTACCAACAAACAGCATGTGAGCCGCGCTGGCAGAAGGACTCAGGATTTTCCACCCGTCTATACCCAGCCAAGTCTAACCACAGGCCTGAAGAATTTCCTGAGTCCTGTGCGAAGCGCTTGCAACTAACTGCTGACTGAGAAATCACTCCATGACTAAATTCTGCTCAACCCGAGCAGTTTGATTTACAACTCTCTGGTAAGGTTCCAAAGGGCAGCACAGCACTAAGGCGTCTGCTTGATCAGTCACCCTCCCTCCTCCCCACCACTTCCCTCCCTCCGCTACTCCACCCAGATTTACATACTTCATAGCACTGACCAGAAAATAAAAGAGTTTAACCATCAGTCTCATTGAGAGACATTTGCTGTCTTCATACAACACTTCCTTCAAAACAAAACTCAAGTATGTTCCACTTAGGATAAGACGAGTGAGTAATAACAGGAAGAATAATCTTTATATTACATCCAGCGCCTTTCACGTTGGGAGGACATCTCTGAGCGCAGGATTTACTGTAAAGGGGAGCGACTGTGTATCTGTACCCCAACGCGGCGGCCAATTTGCACACAGCAATGTCCCACAAACAGCCATGAAACAAACAACTCATTTTATTTGGGGAATTGTTGGCCAGGACACTGGGAGAGAGAAACTCCCTTGCATTGTGCCACATGATCTTCACCGTCCACCTGAACAGATTTTGTTTTGATGTCTCATCTGAAGGATGGCACCTCTGTCAATGCAGCGCCACATTGGAGCGCCAGCCTAGACTGTGAGTCCAAGTCCTGATGTGGGACTTGATCTCTCTGTGCTCCCATTTCCTTAAATCAGATGAATTTTATTTTAATGTGAGCCTCTCCTTGTGGCCCACTGAAATGTCTTTCACTACATGAGATAATATTCCAATGGGATTCTGTTTCCAGAGTAAATAGGCGCTGTGCACTGTGCAGCTCGGCATAGCAACTGGAACAACGCAAACTTCAACAAACATTTAGAGAAAAAAAAAGGAATTTAAATTGTAATGGCAGAATCATTTGGAATTGTCCCCAAAATTCTGCTGTTACGTGGAAAGCATCTGAAATAATTTGTCAACATGTCCTGCATCGCACACACTCAGACACATGTACACACATTTGCAAACACAACTACACCCATTCAAACATACCTACAACAACAACAACAACAACTTGCACTTACGTAGTGCCCTCCAGCGTAGGGTAGCATCTCAGGGCGCTTATACGGACTCATACACACCCTCACACATTGAAACACACATATGCACACACAAACAAACTTTGTGTACATTGCTTGAGAAAACGATGGGAAAATGTTAGGATTTCTTTTTACACCCACAAAGGATTATTTGAACGAGGCAAAAACTATCGAACATAACGGTTGAAACAAAAAACCATAATGGCTTTTAAAAGAAAATAAGATGAACATTTTGTAAAGGAAAAATATAAAGGGCATGGCATTGAAGGGATATCCTTTACACAGAGAGCCAGCACGGCCACAATGGGCTGAAGTCTCTCGTGCCGAGATTCTGTGATTCATTCTGTAAGAATTTCCATCTCCCAGCGCCTTGGGACGTCCTCCTGACGTGAAAGGCATTATACAAATGTAATATGTTGTTATAATCGAGGGCACCTCTGAGGCTGGCTGGAGGCTGGGGAGGCCGCATTAACTTTCAACAAGAATTTGAAATGATTTTCAATTGTCCCAAAGCACCAATGTCACAAAATACCGTGTTTTCACTTCAATTTACGTCCTGAAATTTCCCTGTGCAACCCTCAATCTGCACCCTCTATTTCTGCTGCCTTGGGCACATCTGAGCAAACACGGTTCGGGGTTTAGTCTCTCAATCCTAGTTAGGATCTTGTTTGTATACTTCCGTGAGGCTTACTCCCTCCGAGACATCTCCTTTCAAGTCAGCGTCTCTCCGTAGCAGTCATTCTGCTCGGAGGAAAGTGAACAGGCTCCACTTTGAAGCTTGTTTCGAACTGTCGAGATAGCGTGATAAAAATGAAATAAGTGTTTAGAACCAGAAACCGTGAGTGTTCTGCATATCAGACAGAAGCGGATCAAAGCCCTGTGTGCTTCCTTGCAATGGATTACAGCTCATTCCTTGAGCGCTGAGTCAAAAGGGAAAATTGGGGGGGGGGGGGGGGAACTCGGAAACTCGGAGAGGAGGGAGAGGGCGGACTGACACGTTTTGCGTTTCCGTTCCAAGTGTTCCGAGGCGCCATCCGGCGTGAATGGCGCCGTATAAATGAAAGACATTGTCGTTGTCGCTTGCACCCTACGTTTGTCAGCCTGGCTCAAGTTTGGTGGCACCCTCTCCTCTGATTCAGAAGATTGTAGGTTCAGGTCCAGACATCAAAGAGACTGAGGTCACACTCCAATGCAGTGCTGGGGGAAACCCTTTTATAGTCGGTGGTGTCATGTTTCGGGTGAGACATTATACTTCGGTCCCATCTGCCTGGTTAGGTGGACATTAAAGCGCCCATATCAACAACAACTTGCACTTATATAGCGCCCTCCGTGCAGGGTAGCGTCTCAGAGCACTTAACAGTGGCGGAGATTGACTTCGAGCTTGGGGCGGTGGGGGTGGGGGAAGGTGGGAAGGCAGAGGGATTGAGGGAGCGTGTTCCAGAGTTTCAGTGCGTAGTGGCTGAAAGCGCGACCTCCGATGGTGGGGCGGAGGGTGTGTGGGACAAGCAGGAGGCCGGTACCGGTCGAGCAAAGGCTCTGAATGGTGGATTGGGGAGGGAGGAGCTCACAGAGGTAGGGAGGTGCCAGAGAGCGGAGGGATTTGAACACGAGTGTGAGAATCTTGAGGACCACATATCACTATGTGAATAGAAACGGAAATTGCTCCAGATGTCCTGGCCAACAATCCCTCCAGATAAAATCGGTCAATAAAACCATGGATGTCAGTGGCACATTACAATGTCAAACTAGCTGTTGTGTTCGCCTCCAAAGTGCACAGTCATTCCACTTTACAGTAAATTCTGTGAAACTCCTTGAGATACTGCTTTATTCAAAGAGGTTTTGAGAACCACAGGGCTTGTCTCCTCTAAATTAGTGCTGCGGATGGAGGCTTCCCAGTGGTGAAGTGAAGTCTTTTACTAATGAAGGAAAGCCCTTATACGGAGCTTAACATCTTACCCTCATGAAACATGCACAGCGAATCCACAAATAGCTGCCCACTGGATAGTTTTAATGTGATATTAGATTTCATGCAAGCACATGCGGCAGGAGGCAGGGTTTCAAACTGGGCTTTCCAAATAAAAGCCCAATAAAATTAGAAGATGAGACACGGTGACTGAGTTCCACTTGCTGCAAGCAGCAGCAGCGGAAAAAAAAAGAAGTGTCAGATCGCAGTTCGAAGATCCAAGACCGTACCCCTCTCCCAATCGCGCCCTTGATCCGTTCCAGTGTTTCTTTCTCCGTCTGCGCCCGCTGGGGTTGCTGTGCAGTCAGGATCGTTCGGAGAATCCGCTTCGATCAGGAAGCAGGTGACGGAAGTAACGCCTTGGAATATAATCACCATCTCCAGGCAATGCTCGGATCAGGGCTTGAGAACGGGGCGGAAACATGTTACGCTTGTCAGTATTTTTCCAGTGGGTGGAAGGATTGCTCACTCGAGAGCAAACTGGAGGGACTTTTATTTAGTACAAGGCTAGAAAACACACAGTCAGTAAAATCAGGGGAAGTCTGGATTACAGTAAAATCCTGCCAAGCACTTTGTTTGAGACGTCTCGGCGACGCAATAAGGCGCGACATCAAATGCAAAGGACCTAAGTTAATTATAAGCCGCTAGCCAAACATATATTCAAGGTGTCTTTGTGAGGGTATATAGCACCAAACTAAGATGAGGTATCATCCAGACCCCCCCCCCAGTTTCAGCACTTTGTTAATAATAATAATAATCCTTGCATTTGATATAGCGCCTTATCGTGCTGTTGAGATGTCTCAAAGCGTTTCACAGAATATACTGTGAAGTGAATCGACTGTATTTTGTGGGCAAAACATGGCAGACAATTTCACGCAATAGGGTCCCACAAACAGCAGTGGATTGAGTGACCAAATTATTATTATTTTTTTGGGGGGGGAAGAAGAGATTATTACCGCTGGAAAGTAATCTGCCAATCGATTAATCACCGGGTTGCTACTTACTGCTAAGCAAACAGAGACATGAGGAGTAAGGAAACTCGCCTAAATTTTTGCCCCGCCCGGGAATTAAATCACTTGCTCGGCGAGAGCACGAACCACTACACTCTGGGACATTGCATGCTTAAGAGCTCAGTGTATCCATTACCATCACTGCACTGAAATGCGTGGCCCCAGCTCAATGGATCTCACTCTGTGACCCTTCCTCAATTGAGATTTTCTTTCTATTACCTTATTTAGAAACGGAATTGAATGTACGTGATTTAATCACTTATATTTTGCTGACTGAATCTCGCACAGGCGTTCCTCACAGCAGTTCTGTGTTCGATGTCAGAGATGTACAAGAAAATATGATTGTTCCCTCCCGTCTTTTGTGAAAGAGTCATCTGTTGGGACAGACCTGTGTTCTGTGTGTTCTCATAATGGGGCTGTGCTTCATGTCCTATCAATGAGACCCATCATTGCTGGCACTTCTGATCTACTTGCTATAAATAGACTTCAATTCCTTGCGTTATAAATGGAAATGGAGAGACAAACACCTACCGGAAACATGACTGCTATTCAAGTCTTGATACCCTGGCTTTACTGAATTCCAGCTCAGCTGCTGATAGGCAATTTCACGAGCTTTCTCTAAAAGAAACCTCAAGCTCTGCAACCAGCAAACAGAGACTCACAACAACTCGCATTTATACGGCGCGCCTCAAGCAGTCTCGGAGCATTCCGTGTCAATCAATCGGTAAAGCTTCAAAAATTCACTGCATTAGGTCTCTCTTTGTGATACTTAGAAAATGTCCTCGGGCCCCAGAATTAGAGCAGGTGTGTCAGCCTGGCTCAGTGTTAGAACTCTCGCCTCAGAGTCAGAAGGTTGTGGGTTCCAGCCCCACATTGGGAATCATTTAGTCAAAGCTGACGCTCCAACGCAGTGCTGGAGGACGGGTTGCATTGATGGAGGTGCCATCATTCGGATGAGATGTTAAACCAAGGTTCTGTCTGCCTGTTCAGGTGCATGTTAAAGATCTCATGGCACATATTCAAAAAGAGGAGGGAGTTTCTTCTGGTGTCCTGACCAACAATTCCCCAAATAAAATTCAT